TGACAGGGCAACGAAATGGCCGATGAAATTCAGTGCTGACAATGCAAAGTGTTGCATACTACAAAGTAATTCCAACTATACGTATATAATAAGGGGGTCTACATGAAATGTTATCATTCAAGACAAAGATTTTGGAATCCTCGTGAATAGTTCTCTGAAAAAATTTGTTCATTATACAAAAGAAGCCAAAGACGTTAAGAGAATATTAGGAACCAATAGGAAAGGAATAGATAAAACAATAAATATCATAATGCCACTACATAAATCCACAGTATGCCCAAACCTTGAATACTGTCAGGAGCTCTGCTCATCCCATCTCAAAAAAAGATACATTAAAATTGGAAAAGCTATAGAGAAAGGCAACAAACATGACTAAAGGTACAGAACAGGTTAAAAATGACTGGGACTGTTCAGCTTGAAAAAGAGATGACTAAGGCGGGATATGATAGAGGTCTATAAAATCACGACCAGTGTGAATTAAATAAACGAGGAAGTTTTACCCCTTCACAAAAGCAAACCACCAACCAAGGGACACCAAATGAAATTATTACGCAAGAGGTTTAAAACCAGCAAAAGGAAGTGCTACTTCACACAGTGCACAGCCAACCTGTGGAACTCCTTGCTGGAGATGCTGTGAAAGCCAACAGCATAAATGGGTATAAAGAAGAAGGAGCGAAGCTCCTGGAGGACAGGTCCATCAATAGCTATTATCACAGATGGACAGGGATGCAACCCCATGCTCTGGGCATCTCTCAGTTTCTGATTGCCAGATGCTGGAACTAAATGATGGGTATGGATCACCCGATTGCCCTGTTCTGTTCATTCCCTTTGAAGCATCTGGCACTGGCTGAAGCCCCTCCACTGAACACTGCCAGTAAAGCCAAAAAAAACCAACCCGCCCCATCAAGAGCTCTGATGATTCCACACAGCCTCAAGTACTTTTGAAGTCTCAAAACAACACCATATTGCAATGAATTCCCATTGGAAAGGTACATCAAGTGCTGAAGACAAAGCTTGGATGCATTAAGCTTAGTATACGTAGTACAGGTTGAACCTCTCTAGTCCAGAAACATCTGTCGTCCAGAATGATTTGAGTTAGCCAGATGTCCACTTTTCATGGGTGTAGCCAAGTTTCCTGCAGTCCCATAAAGTTTGTTTACAGCCACCAGTCCTGGCTCTAAGGGCATGTCTAGACTACAGGCTTTTGTCAACAGACGCTTTGTCAACAGATACTGTCGACAAAGCCTCTGTCAACAAAGAGCGTCTAGACTACAGACAGTTCTGTTGACAAAGCAAGCCGCTTTGTCGACATGAGAGTGTAGACGCAAAGGGCAGTGTAGATGCAATAAAGCCTTCTGTTGACAGAACTCTGTCGACAAAAGGTGTTATTCCTCGTAGAATTAGGTATACCGCCGTCGACAAAACTGCCGAGTTCTGTTAACGTTATGTCGACAGAACTTGGTGGTAGTGTAGACGCAGGTACAGTTTTGTCGACGAAGTCCACTTTTGTCGACAAAACCCTGTAGTCTAGACACACCCTCTGTGTTCTGTGCTGTTATTTAGCTCTAATTTAGCCCTAAATGTCTTCTAAGAGCCCAGTAAGCAGTGGAAGTGTTGGTAATGCGGCTAGACAGTATTGACCTCCTGTGGTCTGGAAAATTCTCTCATTCGGAACCAGTCAGGTCCCAAGGGTGCTGGACTAGGGAAGTTCAACCTGTATAGCAAACCTGTAACAAAATATCAGAGCCACGAAGCATTAAGGAAAGGTCAATCTGAGCCCAAACACATTTCTCATAAAAACACCGACTGAAAATTCTAGTTCAGGCATCCAGTGGTCTCAGTGATCCAGGGCCACAAAGCTCAGAATGTAAAAGGACAAAAATGGAGACACAAAACTTGCAGGTACTTTACTAAAAAAAGTAACTGGAAGGTCAGGAAATCAACAAAGGCCAACAGAAGCCTGTGGCAGATCATGGGTGGAAGATGTATCGCATCTGAAATAGGCAACCTCGCTTTCCAATGGCATATTTTGTGCACTTGGAAAATGACAGAACACTACTTGATGAAAATCACGCTAGAGTTGGAGTGGAAAGTAAGGTACAGGAACTGACCAAGCATAGGCATCGTTTTATTACACATTTCCATAACTTTAGCAATTGAACATTGTGTAAAGCACCTCAGCAGTTTCGCAGAAGAAACAGTGATACAATATCAGAGGGGTAGCCATGTTAGTCTGGATCTGCAAAAGCGACAAGATGCATCTGACGAAGTGGGTCTTTGCCCACGAAAGCTTATGCTCCAATACATCTGTTCGTCTGTAAGGTGCCACAGGACTCCTTGTCGTGTTAGTAATACAATATGTGTTTGCTTTACATCTGACACAATGAACATTTAATAAGAAAAACTGGGCGGGTTGTCTGTTTGCTTGAAGGAAGAAGCACGTTTGCAATGGCCTGCACTTGTCACACAGCAGCTCAGTCTGCGACCTGCTCAGGGCCTCCTGGAGTGCTAGAGGCTAGCACTTGGACTCAAGTAGAATGCAAGACTGGACTGCAATCAGGAGCGTCATTTCAATAGGATGAAACAAAATACGGGACTATATAGAACTTTAAAGACTAACAAGATGGTTTATTAGGTGATGAGCTTTCGTGGGTCAGACCCACTTAAGTGTGACTTAAGTGGGTCTGGCCCACGAAAGCTCATCACCTAATAAACCATCTAGTTCAGTGGTCCCCAACCTATAGAGGCTTCCGGGCGCCCGGGGGCAGGGCCACTCACGTGCCGGGTGCCCGGGGGTGGGC